AAGAGAAGAAAAATTGAAAGATCCTATTAAGAAATGAAAAGTTAAGAGAATTATATAAAAGTAACAGAAAATAACAAACAAGCAAAGGAAAAAGCAGCAAAATAAAAGGGAAAAATGAGAAACAAAAAAGGGAGGGGGGGCTCAAACCAAGAAAGGCAAAAAAAAAAAAAGTCAATAATAATTCATTTGTATTTCTGAAAAAGTGGTTTCTTTTTCAGGATCTGTAGGTTTGGAATCCAGCAAGTAACGGTTTTTCTCCATCTGGCTTTATGGACTGTGAGTTTGTGAGGTGCCCTGCTTCATAGGTCCCTCTGTCTACACCCCAGACTGTGGCATGTCCTTCCTCTCATTAGTGGATAGGAAAATCAATGAGATCACTGATCTCTATATAGTTAGTTCATGAGTTCAAATAGATTGCTAGCATTAATGCCAGTACTTTCAGATCTACCCATTTCTGAAAGCCATACTCATCAGGCCTTTCTTTGCACCAGAGAACATAGGATCCTGTGACCTTCTCACTCTTAGCTTAAATCTCTCAGGAGGTGCATGTTTAACCTGCAACCACTCAATGACTGTCTCTTATGACTATCTTTCATCCACTCACTGCAGTAGGGTTAACACTGAAGATCTTGAAGTGGAGTTGTCCAGTGATTGTTCTGTGACTCAGTCTTTCTTAAACAACCCCTTCCCAAAATGCCTTCTGATTAAACCCTCTCAAATATGGCAGGCACTGTACTGTATTACACTGCATTTCTTCACCAACCCTAGCCTGCTCTGCAGGCGGAATCTTGCTTTTAGTAAAACCCCATGCTGTTTTGCACTTTACAATAATGGTAGGCTTTTCTTAGGGCTACTGCTGATGGTCTGATGGGTAATTTCTCCCTGGAGCTGCTGGCCTCCAGGCTTACCTTCTATGCCTGGTCTTTTGCTTTGTCCATGATCATTTTGATAGGTCAGTTGGTGCCCCTGCTGCAGTGTGCTGCGTGGAAACAAAACATGGAGCAGGGATCCATGGGCACAGCTGTACAGGGGTGAACTCAACTCTCTAGGTTCTGTCTGGTAGTAGTGCTCTATTAGCCTCCAGCTGCATGAGCCTGGTTGCGAATCTTTTGGGTAGATATTCAGTAATGGGATTACCAGATTGTATGGTGGGTCCATTTTAATTTTTTGAGGAGCCTACATATTCCTTTTCATCATGGCTACACTAATTCACATTTATAACAACAGTCTACAAATGTTCCTTTTTTTCCACACAAGCCAATAGTTATCTTTCATCTTTTGTCCAATACCTATTCTAACAGATGTGAAGTAGTACCTCGCTGTGATTTTCATTTCCATTTCACAGACAATTCATGATGTCAAGTTTTTTTAAGTATGCATATAACTATTGGCCATCTGTATATATTCTTTTGATTCATGTGTCTTTAGATCCTTTGACCACTTTTTTTTTATTTTAAAGAGAGTAAAGCCAAACAAAATAAAACAGAATAAAGCTGACTGCAACAAAACAATAAAAGTGCTACAGGTCTTCAAGACAAGATAATAGGAAATCAACAATGGCTATCATAATGTATCATGTTATCTTCAAAATAGCAGCTCATACCCATCACACATAACAAAATCAAACAAAACAAAACAATGAAAACAAGGTAATCAAAAATTAACAATGGCTACACAAATTCCTCTTGTAATCTCCAAAATAGCTGTCCAGACCACAAGACAAAGGCATGTAAAATTGACCAAACAGTACAAAAATTAAGTTGCTCCTTTACTTCAGTCACTATCTTTTCAGAAATTTCAGATGTGTGACTTCTAATTACTACTATGTCTGGATTTCCTGAACTTGTTCTTGTTCTGTATGGGCTGAAGCTCAGAGATTGTATTTTGCTCCTTCATCTTGACATTTTTCCTTGTTCTTCTGAATCAGCCCTTTGCTGCTTCTCAGGTGCTTCCTGCATTGGCTGCCAGTCCCTCAGTGTAGTGGATTGGACGAGGCACCAGGGTTCCTGGAGTGGTGGAAAGGCATAGGGCAGTGGTTCACTGACACTTCCCCAATAGTGGCAGGGCCTCAGGTTGTGGCTTCTGCCAGCCAGAATTGGGCTGCCTTTGACCACTTTTAAACAGATTGTTTTCTTATATATTTTTAATGTTTATTCCTTACCATATATATAATTTGTTAATATAGTCTCCTGTCCCATTGGTTGTCTATTTCTTTTGATGTGCAGATGCGCTTGATTCCTTTTGCCTACTTTTTATTGGTTGCCTGTGTAAAATTATAAATCCTTCTTAAAATTCATTCATTATGAAAGAAGAATATACTTTAATACTTTGTCTTATTTGTTCTTATCACTGCAAAGAGGAAGGGAGAAGTGTATAAGTATACATTAACAAATGTAAATGTATAAGTAAGGAATTTGGTTTTTAATGTTACTTCCTACATAATAACTTGGCATGTGACTTTCCAGAGACCTTATTTGGCCCAAGTGACAAAAATGACATTAAAATCAATAAGTGAAGAAAGAACACAGAAAAACTAAATACATTAATCTTGACAGTAGTTTTTTAAGTTTTAATCATACATTTAAGCCTTCCTTTATCTAATTCAGCAAATCAATACTTTGTATATGCTTAATATTAGTTGAATCCAAAATTGGTGCTTTGTCAATTGCCATTTCCAAAGTGCAGAGGTACAACATAGTGATTATAGTTTATACTAGTGTTTGTATAGTGCTTGAAGGTTGTTAATGGAGTGAAGGAATATGGGGAGATGTAGGCCAAAGTTATGTATATGTAATATGAATAAGCCTAGAAACCGTATGTATAACATGAGACCTGTAGTTGTATTGTGCCAGGCATGGTGGCCCATTCCTGTAATCCCAGCACTTGGGAGGTTGAGACAGAAAGACTACAAATTGAGTCCTGTTTGATCACAAAATAAAAAGGGTTAGAGCTGTATCTTAGTATGAGACCTTGGATTCAATCCACAGTACCAAAAAAAGTAAAAATTGAGTTACATTTGAGACGTTTACTAAAATAGTCAATTTTGGGTATTCTTGCCACTTACACATAAGGGCAATGTGTGTGTGCATTTGCATTTGTATCATATTGTATACCCGCAGTATGTAAAATTGGAGTAGCAAACTTGCCTAGCATGTGCCAAGGCTCTTCGTTCATTTTGCAGCACCACCACCCCCATACCATTGAAAGAGCAGGTTTTAAGTGTTCTCACTACAATAATAAATATGTGAGGTAATGCATAAGTTAATTCCTTCAATTTAGCCATCCCACAATGTATATATTTCAGAACATATTTTATATCCTAAATATATGGAATTGGTATTATCAGTTAGTTTGTGTCAAGCAAAAAGTAAAAGAATAAATTTTTTGAAAAACAACCAAGTCAAGTCTGAGACAGCTATTATTTAGAAATAATATGGGATATGTGGGATATGTATAAAGACAACTTTTTATGTGCTGGATCATTCCTGGGAGAAGGGTTGTAATTTAATAGCAGTTTATTGGAAGGTTAAAAATGGCTGAGTTGGCCAAGGATACAGCTCAGTGGCATAAGCATCTGCCTAGCAAGCTTAAGGTCCTAAGTTCAATTCCTGGGACCAAAAAAAGAAAAAAGAAAGAGGAAAAAAAAAATAGCGGAGTCTAATTGTACCACAGTGATATATGTGCACCCATGTTTATAGCAGTATAATTTGTAATAGCCAGGTCTTAAAAATAACCAAGGAATGGATAAAAAAAGTTGTGGTCTTTTTATACAATGGAGTACTACTCCAGAAATAAAGAAGGATAAACTGGAGACTTTTATAGGTGAATGGATGCTACTCAAAATCATATTCATAAGTGAAATAAATTAGACCCATGTGTGTAAACATCGTGTATATCTCCCTAGCATGAGAAGCTGAAAGCATAAATAAGATCCCAAATGTAAAATACATATTGTGAAATGGGAAGAAACTGTTCAAAAGGAAAGAGAAACTAGGATGGGGGAAAGGAGAAAAGAAGAAAGAGAAAAGCAAAAAAAAAAAAAAAAAAAACTATAAGTGTGTGTGTGTGTGTGTGTGTGTGCACGCGCGCGCAGATAGTTATACTACTGTAATTCATTGAAAAGAAAGATTTGTGCTAATGTTTGGACAATCAAATGCTGATATCTTGTACTAATTTAAAGATAATACACAATGTATTAACATTGTAATTCTCCTATTATTTTCAGTTTTTTTCTCTTTAAAATAAAATTTTTAAAATGGCTGAGTCTTGACAGAAGCATTTGTACTTTGGAACTGCTCCCATCTCTTGTCAGTGTTGCTACCCCTGCCAGCAACACATCCTCCTTCCTTGTACCATATACATCCGGAATTACTGGGAGAGTAATGAGACTTTTTACACCCACAGATGGTAACTTCTTGTACAAATAAGTGTTCTCCAGTAGTACTTCTATCCAAGATTCTTGTGATACTTCGTAATGATAGTCAGTTCTAACATTTTATGGACCTAAACTTCATCATGTTTGTGAGTCTTATTCTATGTGTGACAAAAAAAATTCCCAAGAAACAAAAACCCTATATTTCCCACTGTGATTAAAGATTTGATTTACAATACCATATTTTCAAATTCTTCGGTATATTTTGGCAAAAATGAAATCACTTGAGTTGACAAAGATTGGTTCACTGTAAGGCTAGTTAAGAATCAACTGTAAAGTCTGAAGGCATATTCAAGGAGTTTATAATTTGTGTCGAGAAAGTTTTTAGCAGTTTTTCATATTTGGGAAATGAAACACCTGATACCTAAAACTTGTAATATGTGTGAAAACAGAAATCACTTTATTGTATACTTGTACCTCAGGTAGGTAGATGATTGTATAGTTTCTTTTTTATTTTGTTCATTTTCTACTTAGCAAAAACTAGTTGTGTAGTTATTTCTGAAGCATTTTCCACTGTCTCACAATGACCACCCTGTTGTCCTCTTTGACTATGCTTACCTCTCTGCAGGTGAAGGTTGCTATCCTTAAGTATATAGAAACTCTGGCCAAACAGATGGATCCAGGAGATTTTATAAATTCCAGTGAAACTCGCCTAGCAGTGTCTCGAGTCATCACTTGGACAACAGAACCCAAAAGTTCTGATGTTCGAAAGGTGTGTGTTTTATATGGCTTAGAAGATAGGTTAGAAAAGTTAGCCAGTAGTTTTGGATTGCCAGTGAAGGAAACTTAATATTTTCAGGATGCTACCAGTTAGCAGTGAATTATGAAGTACTTTGTTCAATGTTTTTAAAATTATTTTAGATTTTATCCAATTGATAGGAGCATAATATTCAAACAGAAGAGTCAAAAATAGCTGTCCTTACCATAATTCTCCAAGCCTCCAATAATCAAAATATTCTGAATCAGTTCTCTTGTATTTACCTGTGTATTCCAAATAAGACGTGACAGTGTTTCTTGATTTATTAATTTTAGGGACTGTTTACTGATTTGTTGATAATGTAGGCATTATACTTATTTTCCTTAGAGTATTAACTTTCCCACTGCTGAAACCAATACCTGACACCTAAAACAAAAAAGAGGAGAAGTTTAATTTGGCTCACAGTTTTAGGAGATTCAGCTGATGATCTGCTGGCCATGAGGCAGCAACACCATAGCAGAGGGGCATGGCAGAACAAAGATACTTAGGTGATGGTGAACAGGAAGTAGCAGAACGTGCCAAAGAGGAAGAGACCAGGGATCAAACATAGCACCTAAGGTCTCACCTCCATGACCCATCTATCTAGACACAACCAGAAGCTTTACTGATTCCCTAGGCAGCTCCCAAGCTAAGCTTGTTGACACAGCTAAGCTTAACCACCACAATTGATAAATGAGGCTTTACTTTTCCCATATTATTCTTACATTCTTTATCTTTCCCCAAAATCAAAATACTTAAGAAGCAGTAATTGGTTATCAGCAGAAAAGATCAGCATTTGACTATTGCAGGCACTTGCTCTTATTCCAAGTGGTTTGCTAATGCCTTCTTTCTTAAAGAAATTTGTTTTAGGATTGATATTTTGCCTTGTTTCATTTGCTTGAGCTTTTAAAAGTGTTTTAAAATGTTAATAGTTTCAACATCTCTACTACATACCTTTAATATTGTCCATATACTTGAAAAAAATATATTACTGACCTATTTTTTGGAAATCTTAGACGCTCTAGTCTCCAGCTTGTGTGTTTTTCCCTAATCTTGCCACATAGCGTATTCCTGAGCCTTCTCTGCAACATCTTCCCAGTCCAGCTCACCTCTAGTTATTCATGGTTTGAGTCCTGTGTCCTCATTTCCTTCCCTGTTTGCTAGGAAGGAGTCCTCAGATTGTAAATGCTATGAACTTTATTAACAGTTGTAAAGACTGCACCCACAAACAGCAGTATACATTCTCAAGTGTGCATCAAAGATACTGCTAAGTCACGAAACAAACCTCAGTGGTTTAATACAATGGGAGTAACACTAAGAGTGTTCTCTGATCATGGTGGAATGAAATTAGAAATTGGTAACAGAAAGAAATGTGGAAAAATCACAAATATCATATTACATAATCCACTCCTTAAATAGCCAGCAAGCCAAAGAAGAAATAAAAGGGTAGCTAGAAAATCCACTGAAATGAATGAAAATGAAGACATACCATGCCAAAACCAATGTGATACACAGTCAAGCATGATGATGTACACCTGTAATCCCTGCACTTGGAAGGATGAGGCAGGAGGACTGCTGTTAACTGGAGGCTTGCTTCGGCTGTATAGTGAGTTAAGGCCAGTTCAATTTACAGTATGACCCCTGACTCAGAAAAACTTGTGAGATGCAGCTAAAGTATTGCTTAGGGGAAACTTTATTACTGTTAATGCTTAGGGAAAAAAGATAACAAATCAGTGGCCTAATCCACCACCTTAAGAAAGTAAAAGGAGAAAAAAGCAAAGCAAACCTGAATTCGGCAGGAGGAAAGACAATTTTGTAATTATGTCATAATTTATGCTATCATAAATAATACTAAAAGCAGAAATTAATAGAATATAGGGAGACAATAGAGAAAACCAAAAGCCAGTTCTTTTGAAAAATTAATAAAACTGACAAGCCTTTAGGTACAATGACCAAAGGAAAAAGACTTACAGAGACCATTGGCAGCTTTTTAAGTAAAAGAGTGATACAAAGCTATGCACGAGTACATGCCTAAAATCCCAGCACTTGGCAAGCTGAGGCAAAAGGATTGCAATGAATTCAAGGCTAGCCTTACCTACCCTAATGACCTTACTGCCAGCCCAACTATGTAGTGAGACCCTGCCTGAAAAAAGTAAAGAATGATACAACCTATGTTTTTAAACACTGGATTATAAGACAAAAATAGACTATTAGTGTTCCATAAAAAAGAAAAGAATAAAAGGACAAGGGATGATATTAAAAGGAACCTAAAATTCTCACATTATGTAGTAGGAAATCAGTAGAGAATGTGTGAAGCTTACACAAAATAAATATGTAAACCTATGAATGCCTAACTACACAAAACAAGCATTGCCGAGAATAATTCTAAAGAGCTAAATAATTGAAAACCATGGTTTTTTCTATAGGTTTGTCTTTTTAAAATTTATATGTGTATATTAATTTGATTTAAAGCCCTGAAATTTATTTTAAATATAAAATACATCCAGGAAAGCAAATGTAACAGAAAAATTTTTAAACAAGATATATAAAGCAGTCGTGAGTTCGATCCCCAGTACCGATAAAAAGGAAAAAGACAAAAAAAAAAAAGATACATAAAGGACTTGGTTAAAATGTACTAAGTCTGTAGTACTTTACATCATACTACATGAAAAGATTAATGGAATATAAGGGGGGATCCAGAGACACTTAAATTTATATAGGAGATTCTTATATGTCTCCTTCAGTAATCGATGATAGACTTCTACCAATTTCTCCAAAATAAAACACCTGTTGTATAATACTACATTGTTTCACTAGAACACAATTTAATCATTCTTCTGTTGTGTACTCAGATGCTATGAGTACACAACAACTTAAATTTTCATAGTGAGGTATAAAACGACATTTTATACAACTTAAGTGATTGTGTTTTTCTCTGCTCTTAATTTTCTGTATAACCTGAACTTCAATGATTTACTTTTATTAACTCATTTAATTATTTTAGAAGTAAAAAGAAATGTGTACATTTTCTTGACTGATCTGAGCTTTTGTTTTGTTCCCATTCCCACTAAACATTAGGCTTATTGTGGCTTCAGTTGTAGACTTGTTAGATTACTTGCTTGGCAAAAGACAGGATACTGCTAGTTGTATTAAAAGTCATATACTGAGAAAGTAGATATGGTGGTGTTAATTTGTCTGAATGGCTTTTATGTAACCATCCTTTCTCCTTGTAATCATTTATTAGGAAAATTGAAATAAGTAGGTAGATAGAGTTCTAGCAAATGTCTGTCTGGTTAACTTTTGCTATTGTTACACTTACTGATTTTTCATATCCCCTTCTTCAAAAAACAGGGAGTCAGATCTTGTTTTATCTTTCCTAGAGTTGGAAGTGTAACACAGTGATAAACTGTTTGCCTATTACATGCAAGGCCCTGGGTTCAATCCCCAGCACCTGAGGCAGGGTGGGGGGAGTGTCCTTCAAAAGAAAGAAGTGTGAAAACAAAAAACACCTGTTGAGAGAGATAGTCAATCCTTATTTATGCTGTTAAACAGAAATTGTGAGAGGAAAAAATGGTCACTTGTGAGTAAGCAAAATAAGGTTATGTGCTTTCTGTATGCCTTTATTTTTCAGGCAGCACAGTCAGTGCTGATTTCTTTATTTGAACTCAATACCCCAGAGTTTACAATGCTATTAGGAGCTTTACCAAAAACTTTTCAAGATGGTGCTACCAAACTGCTTCATAATCACCTTAGAAACACTGGCAATGGAACCCAGGTATTTCTCACTTTTTTTCCTTGGCTGTTGTATAATGTGATAGCTTAACAATAATTTTGCATGCTTTTTTTTTTTTAATTGGTAGCAGGAATTGAATTCACAACCTAACGCTTGCCAGGCAGTTGCTTGCCAGCTGTGCCACTGAGGTATATCCCCAGCCGAACAATTGCTTTCTTTCACTTAAAGTAAACTCAATCCTAGAACATAATTTTTACATCCGTATCAGGCAGCATTTTTTGAGCAGAATTAAATATTGTCTTAGAATAGCATCACTGGCTATTCTTGTCCTGCCATGTTTGTTTTATAATTTGTGTACATTAGAATACTGGTGAAAAGAAGCCCGGGTATAAATATAGAAAGCCAAATGCTGGCAGAATATAGATGAACACAACAGTTAAAATCAATCCTTATTTGAATACTAAAAGGGATTATTTACTCCAAGGTTAACAAGTAAGGTTCAAAGTGGGTAGTGCTTAATGAATATAGGATTATGAGTTTACATGTGCTTACATACACAGGATTTTGTTTTGAAGAAGTAAGATCTAAGTAAATGAAACATTGAGTAAGATATATACTTTGCATAATATACCCAAGAATTATACTGAATTTTGAGAGTTAAATGAGACAGAGAGATGAGAAGTAGAAAGCAAGAAACTGACCAACCACTTTGATAACTGAAAAAGGACAGTGTAGTTGTGCTTATTAGTAGGCTTAAGATAAGGTATGAGGGTTATAAGTAATTTAAAATAATTTATCAATCAAAGTCACTTCTCTTTTTTAAAAGATAAGGATTGTTTTGTTTTGTTTTATTTATTTATTTATTTTTTGTCTTTTTCCTTTTTATCGGTACCAGGGATCAAACTCACGACTGCCTGCTTACAAGGCAGGTGCTTATGCCACTGAGCTAAATCCCCAGCCCGTTTTGTTTTATTTTAAAAGTCGGACAAAATAATATGGCCAATTTCACTTTGTTGTGAAGATTATTTGTCCCAGGCAGGACTTGAACTCAAAGCCATCCTCCTGCCTTATCCTCTTGAGTGCTGGGATGATAGGCATGCACCACCATGCCTGGTTCTCCATGAGGAATGTAATCCTTATGTACTATAAACATGTACTAATAAAACTTATCTTAGATAGGTTTCCAAGTGGAGAGAAAAGTTTTCCCCAAAAACCAGACCTAAGTACATAAGTATTTAAAATATTGATTTACAAATCCGACTCTTCAATATGGTTGTATATCATAACTAATAGCTTTTTAGTTGAACTTACCTGTCATGTGTTAATATTTATTTAACTCCCTATGTCAGAGTTCTATGGGGAGTCCTTTGACAAGACCAACACCACGATCACCAGCCAACTGGTCCAGTCCTCTTACTTCTCCTACCAATACATCACAGAACACTTTATCTCCAAGGTAATAAAAAAGATAACATTCCATCATATTTTGTATTTGTAAAGACCTATTCTTAGGAAAGCAGATGTTAATATAATTCTGGTCAATTTCCACATGACTTGAAAGGTATTAGAAGTACAAATTTGCCAAACCAAAACAATTCAAAAGCAAATCATTTAAATGCTAATGATATTGGAGTGTGAAAGTTTTTTGAAGGGAAAAGAAAACCTACTAACATACCTTTTGTTTTGTTATATAGCATAGTTATAATACTTAGTGATCTTTTGTAAGCCCAGTAAATTATAAATTATGTCTTTCATTTATGTTATAAATAGGTCAACTATAATGATAGATATTTAAATCTAATATTGACCAACTACCTCTAAAAGTAAGGAAAATTAAGTTTTATAGACAAAGCATAAAATTAGAGGAAATGTGTACTTTACCCACATTTATAACTACCATATTTTATTTTGCTAATTATGCTTCAAGGAATATACATTCTGTAATACTATCTTTGTAAATATCCTACATTATCTCCTTAGATATATTTGTATTTTAAAACTACATAAATAAAAATTAGTGTTATCTTTTTCATAGTGCATTTGATTATGACACAGAAAATATGAACTCTGAAGATATTTATAGCTCTCTAAGAGGTGTCACTGAAGCAATCCAAAATTTCAGCTTCCGTAGTCAAGAAGATATGAATGAGCCATTGAAAAGGGATTCTAAAAAAGACGATGGTGATTCAGTGAGTATTTGAATATTCTTAATGTTGTAGACTATTTCAGTGTTCATTACATTTTTTTTTAACCTTTGCTTTCTGACATTTTCAGATTAATTTTCTAAGGATCATTTGCAGGTATTTAGTAGGTACCACATGCCATGCACTGCTATGTAGTAGTTGTTAAATTCATAAGGCAAAGTCATGTCCTCCGATTTCCTTTAGATATGCAGATAGAAATGGTACCTTAGAGTTTTAGTTTAGAATGTGCCTTGTAGGAAAGTGAATCTTTTTAAATCGTTTGGTCAAGGAAGATTATCTCTCAAGAAATGATACTTGCTTTGGGACTTAAAGCCACACAAATTTAGAGGACCATTCCACAAGCATTTAGCAATTACCAAGGCAAGTAGGAACTAGAGGAGGTTGTAAAGATGGCCTGTGTAGCTGTGAAGGAAAGAAGGAATGGAATAGGGATCATTTGCACCATATCTCATAAAACTTATAAAGTCAAGTCTAGATTTTTTTTCCTGTTAATTGTAGTATGTGATCTGCATCATCAGTTTGTGTGACTGCAATTAAGAATGTTACAACCTATCAAATGTATGTGAATATTATTTATTCACCTTTACCATTATTCAAAGCTAGTTGTTTTTTACTTTGCTTTTTTTTTTTTTTTTTACTTTTTTTCTGACAGTTGAGACTTTCTTTCAAGATACCCCACCATTTCCTATGGAATTTGTTGTTTCTAGTGTTTGCCAAGTTACAGAACACTATAATATTTCAGTGCCAAGTGCTTCTTTCCCTGCCTTTCTGACCATTTTCTTGCTGTTGTTTTTCTCTCCAAGCCTATCTGGCAGAGCTGGGTTATAGCGGACTTAATAAACTGGTTGCCAAAAACCATCTTCCCATTCTTCTTTGAGGTTCTCTAATCTTAAAAAACTACATATGGTATCAGTAGTAAGTTAGTAAAAATCAATGTTTAGGTGATGCTCAGATTTGCTTTTCAGACCCAGCATGGTACAAGGTAATGGAGTTTAAGTCCTAGGTCCTGACAGTTACTAACTAGTCAGGTGATTATTTCTAACCCTCAGTGTCCTCATTAGGAAAATAGGTGTATTACTGGCTACCTTAAAAATTGTTGTGAGTTTGATATATCATATGACTCCATCAAGCCCAGACCACTTTCCTGAGGTCATGTTCATATGCTTGTCTTCTCCCCTGAAACTGCTCCATCCTGTCTTAGTTGATGGCAGTACTATTTGCTCGGCAAAAACTTTGAGCAAAGGAGTTATACTGAATCCTCTCTTTTTCTAACTCTCTACACCAAGTCTGCCAAGAAGTCTGTTACTCTATCTTCAGAATGTAGCCAGAATCTAACAACTTCTCATCAATGCCTGTCTGGTTCAACTAGTCATCAATTCTCTCACCTGGATTATTAATTGGCCTCACTGGTTCTGTCCTTAGCCTCCTATAGCCTCTTCTAATTCCTCTACTCACAGCTCAGTAGATCTCCTCTCAGTTAAAACCAAAGTCTCCCCAATACACTTCCTTTTTCTACTACCTCTATGGCTTCATGTCTACTACTGTTTTCCTTGTTCACTCAGCTCCTGCCACTCAGGCCTTCCTTGAACTTACTGGGCATATTCCTGCCTCAGCGTCTGTATGGAGTACACTTTCCACCTAAACACTCTACCTGTAGCTAGCTCCGTGACTAGTTCCTTCCTTTCTATACTTCCTTCTAACAGCTTTTAGTGAACTCTACTCACCCTGTTTAACCTGTGAACTCCCTTCAACCCTCTGGGCACTCTTGGTCCTTTGACACCACACTTTGTACTTTTTTCTGTTACCATAAACACCTTCTATCATACCATGTGCTTTACTCATTAAGTTTTTTACTGTCTTGTTACCCTCCTCTAGATTACAAACTCCATGAGAATGTCTTGCTCTCTTTCATTTATTAATCTATTCTTAATGCCAAAATCAGTATCTGGCATGTAATAGGTGCACAATAAGCATTTGAAAGAATATTTGTAACGTGCTTTTCAAATGGCTTAGCACATAGTAGAAATGGTGATACTTGCAGTGATAATGATTTTGATACTATTTTTTTTGGGTTTTGGGTTTTTTTTTTTTTTTTTTTTTGGTCTTTTTCATTTTTATGGAAAACGGGGATCGACCTCATGACCGCCTGCTTGCAAGGCAGGTACTTACGCCGCTGAGCTAAATCCCCAGCCCCTTGATACTAGTTTTAATATCAGTGTTAGTATTGATATTTTGGGAAAATGTTAATTAACCTCAGCTCTTGAGGCATATTGTAGTCTGGGGTTGTGCACACAGAACAATTCAAATCAGGACATGGAGTTTATAATATTTTTATAATGGTCACCGGAAGTTAACACAGGAGAATGCAGGAAATCTATCTGCAACACTAACGACATAGAATATTTAGTCAAGAGTCTAAACCCCACGGCAATGTCCCACATGAGTCCAGATAAAAACCCAGAGCTCAGGACAACGCCTCCACGAGTCCTACTGGAAGTCCAGGGCCCACAAGGACTCACGCCGGTCTCTTTTACGGATTCGTGCCAGGAAGACCCAAGGGTCAGCGGTGGAAGCCAGAAAGTGTATGCCAGCAGGATGAAGGAGCTGTGCTAGTGGGATGAGGGTTCTACACTGGAGCTGAGAAGTCACACTCACAACAAAGAGCGGGGCTGTCCTGAAAGGCACCACAGCTGTCCTCAGCGACACAGAAGCCCCGAGCCCCTCCGACCCCAAGCACAATCGGGTACGTGCCAGGAAGCAGCATGACGAGTTCATCCTGGAGACCAGGCAGCACATGTCTTCCCCTCCAGAGCCAGGAAGCAATGCTCGATGTGAAGACCAAAGCTTCTCCAGGAGAACCAACAGCTCAGACAGCAACTCATAGGAGAACCCACAACGCCTCCTTCACACCTCAATCCAACTCCACACCTCCCTTCTTCTCCACCTAGTTATCCTGGCAACCCTTCTCAGGTGGAGCATCTTCTCTCAATGCATGCTGATGTAATCCAGCTGGCGTTAAGTTGACCACTAGTTTTCAAACCATAACAAGGCACTCCAAAAGTGATATAGACCTTGTAAGCCTTTCTTTGCCCTTTTTTTTTTGTTTTTGCAAAACTTTTAAAATTTGGTTTTCTTACACTTTATTGGCATATAATATACATATTGTATAATTTATTACCTTAATAATAGAATCAGGCAGCGTTTAATTCTATTGCTAATGATAGTTCTTTTGTGTTTTTAGCTGGCATGGAGAAACTATTGCTAATCTTACTGTCTATATTATTTGGTTGACAAGCCTTTGGGAAGGGAACTGTAATGACGCAGCATTCTTAGATTTTTCTTATTTGTTCTCGCAACTGTGATTTTATATCCTTACTGTAAGTTTTGTAGTTTTGACTATTGTTTTTTTTTCAGGTAGTTACTGTTAACATTCTTAAATAGCTTTTTAAAGAGCAGAAAAACATCTTTTGAGAAGGTTAAGAGATATTTGACAATGAGTTAATTTGCTGTGCTTTCCCTTTTCCTGTCAATAGACATGTGGTGGTCCTGGGATGTCAGACCCAAGAGCAGGAGGTGATGCTACTGACTCAAGCCAAACAGTCCTTGATAATAAAACCACATTGCTCCATTCTACGCTGGCTCATTCCTCTCCACGCTCTCGAGACTATAATCCTTATAACTATTCGGATACCATCAGTCCTTTCAACAAATCAGCCCTCAAGGAAGCAATGTTTGATGATGATGCTGACCAGTTTCCTGATGGTATGTTATGGGTCATGCTGTTACCATGAATAGTCAGTAAAACAAAAGGAGTGTATTTGCCCTTTTGTTGAAAATCCATAAAATGTAAGGGTCTTTGGAATGGGAATGTTTTTCTCCCATGTGCTAGGGGTTTATTTCTAGTGGTTTGGTAATTTTCTTTTCAGACTGACAAACAGAATGGTCATCTTGAGATCATCTTCAAAATCAAGAAAAGCAGTATCCTCAAGCAGTAGCTTGAGATACAACTCAAGCTAATTCTAGCTTATAAATTTAATTAATCCCTAGACATAATCCATTAATTTGTATAATCAGAACAACAGAAATTACATGGAAATAAATCTTTTTTAATGTGCTAGAGAAGTGCTATACCACTAAGTTTATACCCTAACCCCTTTTTGAGAGAGTCTTGCCACCTTTCCCAGGCTGGCCTCCTGCCTCAGCCTCCTGAGTAGTTGAGATTATGGATGTGCAACATCATGGCCAGTAACCTATTTAGAATACAATGTGAAGCCATAAACAAACTCACTTACCAATAAGATACAAGGACAAGTGTAGGAGAAAAGCTATCATTAGCTACTATCATGTTAAGTCAGGTGAACGGAGTTTAGTTTCAGCTCTAACACTTACTAAGCTGCATGGCCTGGTAAAATGATTGACAGTCTTTAGTCTTTGTTGTCACATTTAAAAGAGGATAGTGTGATTACACTACCTGCACATGTGATCACAGTATGCAATAGGAGACAAATAAAATGTATTAAAAGTAATGATAAGATATAAAACACTACAGATATTTTATTTTTCATAATAAATTCTTTAGTCCTATGAATTATATAATGCATTTTTGAAAGATTTCAATAACTATACATAAACATCAAAGTCTTAACATGATTATATAATTCTACATTTAAGTAGTTTCTGGCTTTTTGTTATTTGCATAATATTGCTACTAGTATAATTTTGTATACATTTTTATTAACATATTCAAGTAATATTCTTAAGAGATTTTTAATAGAAATGAAATTACTCAATACATGAATTTAAAGTTTGAAAGCTACTACCCAATTATATATTAAAAACACTTGAACAATTTATAACCCTGACTTTCTCACTAAGAAAATATTTCAATACTTTTAATTTTCATATGTAAAAAAACAGGTCATCTTAATGTACATTTATCATTGATGGAGAAATTAGAAACTTTTAAAATTTTGTAATTTTGATAAATAGATATCTTCATTTGTTATTTCTTTGATTATAAATCATGTTTTAACCAGCCTTTCATGTTGAGACTTAATATATTATGAAGCTAAAATTATAACTTACCAAACTAAATCTGAACCACATAAGAATCTATAAAATTATTCCCGTTCTTAACTTTGATGTATTCTAATCTGTCACAGATATGTTAACTACATGTTACTGAGACTTAGTCATAATAGAAGTAAATTGGAATTAGCAAGAAAATAACCTTTAAATACTATGTAACAGCAACCTTCTTGGTAAACTGATACCTTGCTTTAGATGCTTTAATCCTTTAAAAATTCCTTAGGTAGATTACAGATTGACAGAAGAATTAGGCCTACTGACATTTTTTGGCTAGAAAATAATACATACATATATGTGTATGTGTGTATATATATACACATAAATATATTTTCTAGCCAAGAAATGTATTTTATGTATAATTGTATTTTAAAATAATTATTATGAACTTTAAAGCTAAGAGTACAGTACAAAGAATTTTTTTCTTCCTAAATCATTTGAAAGTAATGCATGCTAGGCAAGTGCTCTACCACTGAGCTACACATTCAGCCCTTTCTCAACTTTCTGAGACACGGTATCATTAAGTTGCCCAGGCTGGCCTTGACCTTGTGATCCTCCTTCCCCAGGCTCCTGAGTAGTTGAGGCTATAAGCATATGCCACTGTTCCTATCTTAACTTATTTTAAAAAATTTAAATCTATTTTATCTGATATTAATATAGCCAACCATCCTATACTATAGATATACCATGCGTGGAATATCTTTTTCATCCTTTCACTTTTTTCTGGTATCTAAAGTGAATCTCTTTTTTTTTTTTTAATTTTAATTAAGGAGAAAAAGAAAAAAAAGGAGAAAAAGGGTACAAGTTATACAGAATTTCAGAAAAAAAACAGTAGGAAATCACTAGTTAATGGAATACATATTGTCATCTTAGAAATATTTGTTCAAGTTACAAAATTAAAGCTTATATAGTAGACATTCAAAAACTGTGAAACCAAACAGTTCTGTTCAATGATCCAGCAAAACTCAGCAATATCATTGTCTATCTTATACACTTAAATATACATGCAATTATATCATTTAGAGCACTTTCTTTTCCTCTCTTTTGTACAATGACTATTACACATAAAGTGAATGTCTTATAGAGAGCATATAGTTAAGTCATGTGTTCTTATCAATTCTGCTAATACTGGTCTTCTGGTGAAAAAATTTAATCCATTTACATTTAAGGTAATATCACATAACTTTTGAAGTGCTTTTTATTGTTTTGTACTAGTGAAATATTTAAATTCCATTGTCATTTCCCTTTGTGTATATCTTAGAGCTACTGTCCTTGTAGTTATCATAAGATTTTCATTAAATATCTGAAGTTTTATGTTCTAATTGGAATTTATGCCACCTTATATTCAGTAGCATACAAAAACTGCACATTTCCAGCTCTACCCTCAACCCTTTCAGTTGCTGTCACAAAATTATATACTTACACAGTTCTGTGCAAAAACATAAACTGATAAATCTTTTGTGTTACTAATCTTTTAAATTGTTTTAAAAAGTAGAATTCTAAATCATTATTATAATGTGGCTTTTGTAATTGTATATATATTTACGTTTAAGATTTTTATTTATAACCGGGCGTGGTGGCTCACGCCTGTAATCCCAGCACTCAGAATGCTGAGGCAGGAGGATTGTTGGAGTTTGAGACCAGCCTGGGCTTCAAAGTGAGCTCAAGGCCAGTCTGAACTGCATAACGAGACCCTGTCTCAAAAAAAGACAAAAAAAATTTTTCTTATTTATTCATATGGTTCAAATTGCTGCCTTTGCAGTTTCAGGCTTACGATTTTTTTCCTCATTTTTTGAAACCTGGTCTCACTATGTAGTTTAGACTGGATTTGCATTCACTATGTAGGCTAGGCTGGCCTCGAACTATTGCAGTCCTCTCTCCTCAGCCTTCCAAGTACTAGATGTGCAGGTATGCATCACCATGCCTGGTTCTCTCTCACTTTTGAAGAATAGTTTTGCCACATTAGGATTCTTGGTTGACAGAGTTTTCTTTTAACACTTGAAATACATTAGCTCAAAATTTCTGATAAGAAATATACTGATAATCTTCTTGAACATCTCTTTGAATACAGGTCACTTTGCACTGCTTTCACAATTCTCTGACTTTTGAAAGTTGAATTACAATGTATCTTAGCATGGATCTCTCTAAAGTCATCTTAATTTTACTTGGATTTGTTGAGCTTTTTAGTTGTTGGTATTCAAGTCTTTCATCACATCTGTGGCTTTCAACCATATTTCTTTGTATAGTGTTCATTCACAGAATACAGATTTATTCACCTTTTGGTATATGTCGCATATCGCGTAAGCTGCATTCATTTTTCTTCAGTGTTTTCCTTTTTTTCAAACTCAATAATTGGTAGTGTTCCATCTTTAAGTTTGCTCATTCTGTCTTCTGCCTGGTCAGATCTGCCTTTTAAATAATTTTTGTAGCAAATGTTTTATTTCAATGACTGTAATCTTAAGCTTTAGAATTTCTTTTTGAGTGTTTTTTTAAAGAGAAAAAAAGCAATACAGGAAAAAGAAATGGTACAAAATTTGAAAAAAAAGTAATAGCACTAGGAAATCACTAGTTGACAAATTACACATTATCATCTTAGAAATAATTGTTCAAATTACAAAAGCAAAGCATGAAAAGTATACAATCAAACAATAACAGTGCAAACCATTCTGTTTGATGATCCAACAAAAATTTAGTAGTATAATTATCTATCTTATACACTTAAACATGCATACAGTTTATATCCTTTAGAGCTCTTTTCTTCCCTTTCATTTTTACAATGTCTGCTATACTTTTGTATCTTACTACTACTTCAGGGTTTTTTTTACACTCGAGAGACAATGTGATATTTACAATTATGAGTCTTATTTATTTCACTTATGAGGATAGTCTCAAGTTAATTCCATTTACCTATAAAAGCCTCAAGATCACCCTTTTTTATATGAGTAAGATTCCATTGTATAAAAATACCACATCCTTTTCAACCAATCTGTGGTTGATGGGCATCATGGTTGTTTCCAAGATTTAACTATTACAGATTGTGCTGCTGTAAACATAGGGTGCACAGATATAGCTGTGATAGACTTTTCAGTTTTTCTGGGAAAATACCCAGGAGGGGAATAGCTGGATTGAATGGAATTTCCAATCTTAGTTTTTTGAGGAATCTCCATACTGATTTCCACAGTGGAAATCAGTGCACCAGTCTACCCTCTCACCAGCAGTGGAGAAGTGTTCCTTTTTCCCCACAGCCTCACTAACATTTGTTATCAGTTGATTTCTTGATGGCAGCCATTCTTTCCAGAGTGAGATGAAATCTCAATGCTGTTTTAATTTGCATTTCTTGAACATTTCTTCATGTATTTATTTGCCATTTGTATATCTTCCTCTGAGAAATGTGTGTTCATCTCTGATGCCCATTTTTGGAGAGGGTCTCTGAATATGGGGGCTTGATGTTTTTCAATTCTTTATGTTCTGGATATATGTGTGAGGATTGCTGGCTAATATTCTTTCCCATTCTTTGGATTTTCTTTTCACTGTGTTGGTGATTTCTTTTCAAGTGCAAAATCTTTTTAATGAGATCCCAGTTGTTGATTCTTTGAAGTATTTCCCATGCAGTTTGCATTTTGTTCATGAATTTTCTGCCTACCCCTATGTCTCCAAGATTTCTACCTACCTTGTCT